GACACCAGGCCATTGTGGAATAGATGGCAATGAGAAAGCTGACAAAGTAGCTCGTGAAGCAATAAATAACCCTMTGACCGAAATACGCACGTACTCATCACTCATCGACATCCACAGAAATCTCTCAACACTTTTTGTACCAATTTATGGGAATCTGAATGGCGGCGCATACCCAATAACAAATTAAGAGAAATAAAAAATACTACCTAATACTGGCCTAAACCCCATTCATCAAACCGTAAAGATGAAGTAGTTATCAGTAGACTACGTATAGGTCACTCGAAGATGTCCCATGGACATCTTATGCGCAGAGAAGAACCTGTAATGTGCTTAACCTGCGAAGAACCTCTCACAGTCAAGCATCTCCTTATCCACTACCGTACCCGTATCCGTATCCACCAGAAAAAATCTAAAATTGCCCGACAACCTCTTTTAAGCCCTCAGCCCTACCTATGACHACACCAAYAAAATAATTACATTTTTAAAACAAATTGATATGTATAATCTAATTTAAGAACCTATTGTATAACCATATTTTACTATGTACTAAATACTAATTTTGTTACAAGCTAATAACCTTAGCAGTTGAAGCTGTACCATGAATAAAAAAAATGCATAGTTTACAATTTTGTATTGCATACAAATCCTAGCCCTGTTTATAACTATTACTTATATCTCTTTTTTCTGGAAACGATGTGGATGAGCGGAGAACCGCGGTACTTAAGGTTTATAATAAATAGTACGTGGTCGTAAATTATGTATAGTTCAAAAGTAAAAATAAACTTATTTGGTTGGTGCAGTATCTACCAGTAACTTAATAMAACGAACCATCATATTATACAACATAATAATATTATAGTTTAAGTCGTTATWGTACTAGAAATGATTCTGGTAAAACGTCCAGATCATCAAACAGAATTTCATATAATATATTTAAGTTATAGGTATAGTATAATATGTTTAATAAACATCTATTTCGTTCAAATGTTCAATAAGTTAATCATGTTATTTAATAGGTGGCAGTTAGTTACACTCGTATACGCTTTATTAATTTCACACGTTTGTTGTCTTAAAAAACCCTAACAGCCTAACCACTTCATCAATTAGTTACTAATATTGTTGCTCAAATACAAGTTTGACTGCATGTGAACACAMCCATCATGCATTATAGTATATCGACAATCATCATAGTGTCTTAAAGTCAAAATATTAAATTCAAATTCATTTCATAATTATTAAATGTTTGTTATTATTTATTACAACA